AAAAAACAGATGCTCCGAAAACTTAACCCTGCAACTTGCCCAGCCCCTTCCAGTCAGCACTCCTGGTTCCCTTTCTCTGGATTATTTTTTCCTTAGCACTTACCACCTTCTACCATCCTGATAATTCTCAAATTTTTATGCTTATAAATTATTGTCTTCCCTCCCCTGTGAGCACATACTTCCCACAAGGCAGTGATCCCTGATGGTTTCCTTGCTAATGCCAACCCCAAATGCCTGGTACATACCAGTTACTGAATACTTGTTGAATGAATCAATAAACAAGACAGTATACATTTTGCAAGAACACATATAAACCAAACGATCCACTTCAGGCACGTGAGATGGCGCTTAGATAAGAGCTTGGCCGGGAAGCTGTATGAGGCATGAAACGGAGGCTAGAGGGGCCGAACACCCTCGACTGAGAAGCAGGTTAGTGGTTTCTTAGTTCCATTCTCCCCCGACTGCCAGTGGCTGGCCTCGAGCTGTGATCAGCCAAGCCTGACTCTTCCAGAACATCGGGTCTGGAAAACATCAGCCTGATGACACGATGAGCCCCTGTTCTGGGGGACCAGCAGTCTGAAGGGTTCCTGGTGCACGGGTCTCCCTAAACCCATCTTGGGAAAGCTGTTAGCTGGCAGAGTCTGCCCTGAGGTCCCCTCAGGCCCCTTAGAAGTTTGGCCAGTTTGGGAATTTGGGATTCCCAACTGGTTCACACACATCAGTAGGTTTAATACAAAACAAACACTGGAGTCACCCTAGAAGGTACGTAACCAGTAGCTTGAGAAATATCTGGGAAGTTTTGGAAAACACAAAGTCCCAAGCCTAATCCCCACGGAGATTCATAAGATCTTCAGGAGCCCAGGAATTTGGTTTGTTTTGTTTGAACTCCCCAGGTGGTTGTGGCCCAGCCAGAACCTGAGCCCCACACGGGCAGTCAGAATCCCAGTCAGCTCCCAACAGCCAGCCTGGCTCTCTCCCCAGAGAGGCAAGAAATCAGTGCTTTCCTCCACCCCCACCCTCGCCATCAGGAATGCTGGAGGGGGCTTCAGAAGCTGAAGAAGTCAGAAATCTGAGTGGAAGTGGACAGGTAATGGGCCAAACCGCCCCCCTCCCTCGGCCTTGCCCTAGTATCAGCATTCCAGGCCCACCCACCTGGGCTCTTGGTCACCAGGAGACCTCACGAGTACATACAGGCCCTAACCTGCCCTGAGCCCAGATCCGGAGCTTCCCCAGCCGCTCTCTCAGCCTGCTTTGAACAAAGGCGATTGTTCTCTCAGGAATATACTGCAGGGAGATGTCTGTCCATCCTTTCCCTTCTCTCCATCCCTTCCAGCTCTGCCCCCATCTTTAATCCCTGGGAGGGAAGGTCTCCTGAATATGACTGCTCTTGGCTACCTTTTCCTCTCCAACCTGAAAGTCACATGCTCTTACTTGTGGTTATTTGTGCACAAATCCCTCCAGCAGTCAGACACACATTTTCAATGCTGAAGGCTGAAGTTCAAGCAGATGAGGGTTTTTAAAATACACCTTGGGAGTTGCCTGCCTTCCTGTGGGAATCGTCCCATTATTTAAAGGATGGATTGTGCCTGTCCCTGCCCCCACCTGATGAAGCAGTAAATTGTAACAAGAGAATCTGGCTAAACAAGTTTCCGATTCAAACGTTATCTTGTGGACAAAGAACCCTTTGAATATGGTTTCTGTGTTTGGCTTCTTGTGATGGAGTGGAAAGTTGTTTTCACCGTTGCCGGAATTCTTCTCTGCCTTCAGCGTGTCCGGGTGCTCACTGAGAAGGCAGCCTTGAGCCAGGTGGGGGCAAGGAGAGGCCATGTGGCCAGGGGAGCTGTGGCCAGGCCATTTCCTGCTCCTTCACATGTGGATATTGGTAATATTTCTCTCTCGGAAGCTGCCACTGAGAAGGCAAGTTGTCCGCTTCGGTCACCACGTCATCAATAGGCAGAGGGCCCCTTTCTGCAAGGGCCCGTAATCCAAACATGCTTGGGGCCGGTGATTGATAGAAAGCTCCTATTTTAAAAGGATTTCAAATCTAAACAGAATGTGTCTGGTTACTGACAAAATTAAATTAACCTCTACTGGAGAAACTTCCCCTTCCAGTGAAAACAAAGTTATAGTTACAGATAAAATAGTAGCTTGGGCATAAATTCCTAGAGGTTTCTAAGAGCAAGCAAGTGTGATTGTTAAATGCGTGGGCTTAAATTCATTCTGTTTGCCTCACTTTGATATACTCCATCTATGAGAAGGCACAAAAACCTTTTGTTGTTGCAGCAGTTGAAGGGTCAAAAGTTCCGCAGACTTTGGTTAAAAGCACCTGGAGTCCTGGGTTTTACTGAACTCTCTTCTTTGGCTGCTCTGGGAAATCTCTCTCTCTCTTTTTTCCCCCCTAGAAACATGATAACCAGGCTGCCCAGGCGCAAAGGGAAAGGTAGAAACTTTTCCTGTTCTGTGTCCTCTTTTTCTCAAGGAAAGATTACAGTTAACACGCTGCCTTCTTGGACATTTCACATCAAACTCTCTTCTCAGCTTTTCTTGCCTCCAGAAACAAGGCTGATGCGGTGAAACAGGATTTCAGGGTTCAAAGTGACCAACAGAGAGCCCTTCCAGCCAATCACTGCATTTACCCCACCGGTCTTTGTCGAAGTTCTGCTCCAGGCTGTCGCAATGCTAGCCTCTGAGTCTTCAAGGGAACTCATATTTGTCAAGGATAAAGGGGACCGAAGTTTTGTCACCCTAAAACTCCCTTTTGGGATATTGATTTTTAAGCTAGTTCTTAAGAAACAAAAGACTCAGAAACAACATTACCTGTCTAAGAGATTCTGAGAGAAACCCAGGTCCCCCGTGTCCCGTTGTGTCTGGGTTGCCTGGCAGGAGCCTGTCTGCCCCCTGTGCCTGGCTCTGCCGGAGCTACCTGTGAACTGCCCGAGTCCTTTGAAATCTCAGACCCTTGCCCCACCCTCCTTTCCTCCTTTGTCCAGAATGGCATAAAAACCTCAGCCGTCCCATGTGTTTCGGGTCTCCTTATTACCTGGCACCCCGTATGTACGTTCGTACAATCAACCCTGTACTTTTTCTCCAGTTACTTAACACCTGTATGGTTTTGTGAGCTGATGTCACCCCAATAAATTCCATCTTAAAGATAAATAAATAAATCTCTCTCTGTTAATTTGATTATAAGCCTGGCTAGAACTTAGAAGGAGAGAGGAAAAACAAATTTTTTTAGCTCCTACAAGTGAGTACATTCCCTTTTATAATTCCCTTTCAACCTTCATAACGCAGCCAGAGGCTGAGCAGAAGGAAAAATGGTCTCTGGATTTGAATTGCTTAGAGACTGGCGAGGGAGGTCGGGTTGCAGAGAAGAAACCTCCAGAGAATGGCACGAGGCCTCCATTAATCCAGGCCTAACCCGGCAGAGACATATTAAAAGTGCTGCAGCCTGGAGAAGAGAGATCAGAAAGACCCGGGCCCCCAGGTGCTTTCAACCAAAGAGTCTAGAATATCCAATTCTGTGGGTTTGGTTTGTTAAGCGTTTCAGCTGGAAAGGGATCTTCCTCTGAGACCCGAACCTCAACAATAATGCTCCTCTCTTTCTTTTGAAGCCAGTTTCGAATCTCTTGCCTGACAGAGAAACTTTATCTCCTACATCCTCTGCGCTCTTCTTAGTTACATCCGCGGACACGGAGCCGACGAGTCCAGCTGGACCCTGCCACAGCCCTGTTCTAAAGAGAGCTATGTCATCAACATGGGTTTATGTTTGGGGGAAATTTGCTTTTATTTTGCTTTTGATTAATGTACTAAGATGTTATATTAGGGAAGGATCCTCTCCCTCCCCTCCATTTGTGGGCCCCGCCAAGCTGGGTGGGTTCTCCGCAGAGGCAAATGTGAGCAGGAGCGCTCCCGGGGCTTGGCAGGGCTGCTGGGCCGTGAGGCAATGGCTCTTCCATCACACTGTCATCGCTTTGCGGAAAACACCCTGAGCAGCGCAGCTGCAGCACCGCTGGCAGCACAGAGCTGATTGCGAGGGGGAAGGCCCTGGGTCAGCCCCTCCTGCCTGCCACAGCTTCCCAGAAATGTCTGTGGTTAGGTGGTAGGTTCTTCACTGGCCCTGAGACCCCTGGCCCATTGCTGGGCTGGAATGGATACTCAGTCTCTATGCTGAGCAATCATATGAGGACTCGGGTGTGTACCAGTTACCAACATTACCATTTACTACACTGTTACCAGAGCCACCCATCCCTTGCTATGCTCCTACACAGTCCACCTAGGCCTCCTTGCAACCAGATTGCCATTCCTTAAACTCTTCCTGTGTAGAATTTGTGGACTCCTGACTGTTGGGTGGCAGTGGTTTTAAAATTCAACTCAGGCCCTAGCTGCTGTGGCTCAGTGGATTGAGTGCCAGCCTGCAAATCAAAGGGTCACTGGTTCAATTCCCAGTCATGGCACATGCCTGGGTTGCGTGCTGGCCAGGTCCCCAGTGGGGGCCGCACAATAGGCAACCACACATTGATGTTTCTCTCCCTTTCTTTCTCCCTCCCTTCCCCTCTCTCTAAAAATAAATAAATAAATAAAATCGGTAAAAAATATATATATATATAATTCAACTCAGAACAAATTCAATAAGCATCTATTATCTGCATTTATTTCACATTTATTGACCTCCTGTGTGCCTGCCAATGGGAATACAACAGTGAATGAGGCTGGTCTTCCAAGGTTAGTGAAGGAATGTCCAGGACAGCACTAGTTACTATTCCTCAATCTTCCAGAGAGATTCCCAGATGCCCTCTCCCTATTGGTTGGACTCCCCCAGCAAAGAGAAGTAGCCGCAACAATTGCCTAGAGTGTGAAAAAAAGTGTATATAGTCAGACATAGATTCAAACTGCTGCTGTATTTTTTATTATGAGACATTAAGCTACTTAACATCTCTGGGCTCACTTTCCTCATTTGTAAAATGGCAATAACAAACCCTTCTTTCAAAGAGTGCTGTGAAGTGCTTGCTTCGGCAGCATAGGTACTAAAATTGGAAGGACACAGAGAAGATTGACGTGGCCCCTGCACAAGGGTGACACGCAAATTCGTGAAGCGTTCTGTATTTTTAACAGTCCCTCAGACGGGGAAAAGGAAGATGTTAGAAGACGAAATTCAACTTAACAATGTGGAAAAATTCAGCTTGGCACAATTAAGAAACAAATGATTTCCCCACTTGAAGATAAACTGTAAACAGAACTAGGAGCTGTTGGGAATTTTTTTTTCAGATGACACATTGCCTATTTGAATAAATCTGTGTGTCAACTTAAAAAAAAAAGAAAAGCGGAGGAAAGAAAAGGAAAAAGAAAGAGAGAGCAGTGGAGACAACAAGCTAACAAGTGCAGATTGCCCAATTTGGTGCCAGACATACACAAGCAGACCCTGTCCAATGGTAGCTGCTGTGGTGGTGGTGGTTATATGTTATTATTACTGTTGCTACAACTGCAGTTATTAACAGAGCTGCACTTTGTGAGGAATAACAATAGTCTTTTTGAGAAAAGTAATATGGGGAAACTTTAGGAGAACATCCCTTCTAGGCTGTAGCATAATCTAAGTTTCAAGTAGGGGAAAAACAAATCTTTCTGGAGAAAAAAAAATGATTGAGTGTTTTGTTTGTTTGTTTGTTTGTTTTTAACTTAAATGGGATGTTCAGTTGATTAGTCCATCCCTGGGGATCAGTCTTCTTCTTAAAAAAAAAAAATTAAAGTGCTCTCTGCCTAATCTGTCAGTAAGTTCAAATAAAAGATGTTGGGTTGGAGCCCTACTCTGAGTTAGCAGAGGGAAGAAGGGAGTTATCACAAACACTTTTTCCTTATTTTTCTTTTAAAGGGTTGGCAGATCATAATTTTTTTTAAAAAAGTCATCACCACCTAAAAATGCTTTATAAGTGAATCAGTATTGTTTGTCTTTTTGTTTTTCCTTTTCTTAGCTTGGGGAAGTCAGAAAGTGCTACAAGGGAGAATTGTAACTCTGTGTCTCCTTTTTTCATTGCCTTAGACAAGCAGAGAAAGTAATTCACTTTTGGAATCCACCAGAAATCAGTCCATTCAGACCAGGTCAATAGGTGAGCTTGTAAGTGGTCAGCAAGCAAAGGTATAAAAAAACTAATATGCCAATTTGGGTTTTGTTGTACAGAAAGGATCTTCATTTTTTTTAAGATAATCTAGTTTTGGCTTGTAAGGCCCAAGAAGATAAATGAGATGAATAACCCCACTTATTAAAAAAATTTTTTTCTTCCAACATAATAACCATAAAGTGGTTTTCATGACATCCATTTTCAGATTTTGGTATAAAGCCCAATTCACAATTTAAATACAGTTTTCCTATTTTATGGCCAATACATTGAGTTTATATCTTTCTCACTGTTTAAATCAGAGTGAAATTTTTCATCTAGAAGTATTTATTTTCACTCTTTAATTTTGATTCATGTGCCTCTGGAGAATATATCTCTTGTATCATTCTAATTCCAAAAATGAAAGGAAAACAAGATGAAATGCTATTGGTCAGTTCCTTTAAAAGGCTGTTTTGAGGGGTCATTCCTGAACTTTTTTTTTATAAACTATATTTCAAGTCTTTGATCTTGACAGCCCTGAAATACTACCTCACAATTACATCACAACTATGAAATAACTTTTGTTGGCTAGTGAAATGACTTTTCAAAAGGTTCCACTAAACACACAAATATTACCGTGAAAGGATGTCAGAGTGTTCCGAATGATTAGTGATGGCATTAAAATTGCCAGTATTGCTATATATTGCACAGTTAAGAGTTTTCTCAAGGATATTTGGTGGCCACCAACTCAGGTTGAACTAAAAGAACATAGTTATTGATAAGCTTTGGAACAACATTTGGGGTGGGTTTCTTCTGTTTTTCCTTCTCTCATAACATAGAAGCTGGTTGTCCTCTGACATAACAAAGAGAAACTGGAATAGGCTCTGGCAAAGGGTTTATTTGATCAACAAACACTGCACAAAGAATACTGTGCATTTCCCTGCTTTCCACAGTTCTCCCCTCTGTAGGTTCATCCCTAACCCAAATGTCCCCTTTTCTCCAACCCTCCCCACAACTTTCCTAGAGGAAAAATCTCTAAAATTCTCCCCTTGCACAGTGTGATAATTATGGGGTGACAGAGTGTCAGTGGGGTCAGCTTCCAAGGAAGAAATGTTTAGCCAGAGAGAAAGAGAAGTCTGCTAGTGCTGTAATCAGCAGCACCCACACCTTTCCTATTGCTATTCATTTCTCCATCACACATTTCTCACCCTGGAGAACCCTCAGTCCTGTATCTCACCCTTACTCCACCTCCCAAAGCATTTTGCTGGCTTGTTGATAAGCCCTGGCCCTGGCCCTGGTCTGGCTGTAAATTCCGCCCACAAGCCTGGGATGTGTTCTGCCTGAACCTTGGCTCTTTACTCAAAGCCACTTGATAAATAAAAACTTTAAACATTCTTTGGATGCTCCTGGTATTTAAATAACTCTCTAAATGGGTTTCACATTAAAAAGTTCAGAAACTGACTTCTGGTCAAGATGGAGGCGTAGGTAGACACACTTCACCTCTTTGTGCAACCACAGAAAGGAATTACAACTAAATCTCCAAAATAACACCCAAAACTGTCAGAAAATTGAACCGGATGGTAGTCCAACAACCAAGGATTTAAAGAAGCCACATCCATCCAGATGGGTAGGAAGGGCAGAGACGTGGAGATGGGGTAGAGAGGCAAGGAGACATGGTGTGGCACAAGAGGTGACGGTGGTGGCATGGACATGGATGGTCTCACATTCATGTGTGGTGGATAAAAATCAGAAGGGATACCTTGGGAGCGAGCAATCCCAGCCCCCAGCCAGACTGCACAGTCCAGGATTCTAGTGCCAAGAAGACAAATCCCCATGACTTCTGGCTATAAAATCCAGTGGGGGTTAGAACAGCAAAAGAAATGGCCAGGGTTTCAGAAAACTTTGCTTAAAGGTCCCACATAGTTTTAAAAAGTATGCAAACCCACCCACCCTAGGACTCAACACTAGGGCAACAGTTGGAAGGGTGCCAGTTGCATATGGGGAGTGGGTGAAGGACTGGGAATGGGGCGAGTGCTGGGAAAATGCCCAGAAGCCAGGCAGCAGCACAGTCCCCTCTCCATGCCTCCCCCCACACAGAGCCACAAAGCAGTGAAGCAGGTTGCTCCACCCTGGCGATTACCTAAAGATTCCACCCCAGACAATTCACAGGTGCCTTTTACCAGAAGTCAAAAGCTCTACCTAAATCCCAGAAACAAACACAGGGAGGTTGCCAAATTGAGGAGACAAAGAAATATGGCCCAAATGAAAGAACAGAACAAACACCCAGAAAAAGAACTAAATGAATCACAGGTCAACAACCTATCAGATGCAAAGTTCAAAACATTGGTGATCAGGATGCTCAAAGATATCATTGAGTGTAGCAACAACATAAAGGAAGAAATAAAGGTTACATTAAGAGAAATAAATAAAAATCTACAGGGAATCAAGAGTGATGGGAAGGAAACTGGGATTCAAATCACCAATTGGAACATAAGGAAGAAATAGACATTCAACCAGTACAGAAAGAAGAAACAAGAATTCCAATTTGTTTTTCCAAAACAAAAAATGATGATCGTATAAGAAGACTCTGGGACACCTCCAAACATGGCAAACACCTGAATCATAGGGATGCCAGAAGAAGAAGAGAAAGAGCAAGGAATTGAAAACTTATTTGAAAAAATAATGAAAGAAAGCTTCCTGAATTTGGTGAGTGAAATAGACATACAAATCCAGGAAGAACAGAGAGTCCCAAACAAGTTGGACACAAACAGAACCACACCAAGACACATCATAATTAAAATGCCAAAGGTGAAAGACTAAGAAAGAACCTTAAAAGCGGCAAGAGAAAAGCAGATAGTTACCTACAAAGGAGTTCCCATAAGTCTGTCAGCTGATTTTTCAAAAGTAAGTTTGTAGGCAAGAAGGAACTGGCAAGGAGTATTCAAAGTGATGAAAGTAAAGACCTACAACCTAGATTACTCTATCCAGCAAAGCTTTCATTTAGAATGGAAGGACAAATAAAGTGCTTTCCAGACAAGGTAAAGCTAAAGGAGTTCATCATCACCAAGTCATTATTATGTGAAGTGTTAAAGGGACTTCTTTAAGGAAAAGGAGATCAAAACTATGAACATTAAAAGAGCAACAAATTTAAAACTATCAACAACTGAATAAAAAAAAACAAGCATACTAAGGAAACAACTAGAACAGGAACAGAATCATGGGTATGGAGATAATTTGGAGGGTTACCATTTGGGAGGGGGAAGGGGGAGAAAGGGAGAAAAGGTGCAGGGATTAAAGAGCATAATCGATAGGTACAAAATAGACAGGGGGGTATGAAGAATAGCATAGGAGCCCTGGCTGGTGTAGCTCAGTGCATTGAGCACAGGCTGTGAACCAAAGGATCACCAGTTCAATTCCCAGTCAAGGCACATGCCTGGGTTTCAGGCCAGGTCCCCAGTGGGGGCCATGTGAGAGGCAACCACACAATGATATTTCTCTTCCTCTCTTTCTCTCTCCCTTCCCCTCTCTAAAAATAAACAAATAAAATCTAAAAAAAAAATAGAATAGAAACAGAGAAGCCAAAGAATTTATATGCATGACCCGTGGCCATGAACAAAGGGGGTAGGGAGATTGCTGGAGAAAAGGGGGGTACCAGGTAGAGGGAGGCAAAGGGAAAAAGTGGGACAACTGTAATAACATAATCAATAAAATATACTTTAAAAAATGTTCAGAAACTTTTTTAAGAAGAAAAGGGGGACAGCAAGGGAAAAGATGGGAACTACTTGTCCAAAGTAGGCAATCCTTTGTTTTGTCCCACAGGAAGCCAAATGGTGGTTTCCCTGAGAGCACATGTGGCATGAAGTGTGTTTTCACAGTCCCACCAGAGACTATATGGATTGCTAATAGGGTTGCCACCCTTCTGTCTGGACTTTTCTTGTAACATCCTTCAACATTGCTACAAATCTGTATGAGTCTAAATCTCTGTGGCTACATGGAGAAAAATGTAGTCCAGCTGAAG